TTTTAGCGTGGGTGTAGATGTTTGGTTTATAGTTATTTTTTTTTCCTTTTCTCATAGCTACATTGAAAAGAGTCGAGGCGACCATAAAGTACGAAATTTGATTTAGATTGTTCCAATTATTCTTCTAATAATGGCATGATTGGTATGATGGAATGAAATTTCGTAGGAATGGAATGATTATAGGAATGAAATGAAACATGTTTTGTCATTGATGTGTTTGGTATGCAGAAGGAATATGACTGGAATGGAATGTCATTATCATTTTTTATTATAAAAATGAATAAACGCTTTTTTTTAAAAAAATAATATACTTGTAATGAATTATATAAATGTTTTATAATAATAAATGAAAATAAAATAATATATTTTTAATAATATATTTTTAATAATATATAACAAAAGAATAATATATTGTTTAATAATATATACTAATAGATAAAAATAAAATAATATATTTTTAAACTATCCTTAGAAGTATATATTTTTAGTATATAAAAAATAACATATTTTTAATAATATTTAAAAATAAGAAGTAATATATTTTTAAAAATATATATTTTATTTTTTAATTAAACAGTAAATAAGAGTAAATTTTCAATTTTTTATTTGAATTTTATGTTTTAAAATAATATATTTTTAATAATATTTAAAAATAAAGTAATATATTTTTAATAGTATATATTTTTAATATTTTTCAATAATATAATTTTAGTAATATATTTTTAATATATAAAAAATAATATAATTTTAATATATAAAAAATAATATATTTTAAATAATATATAAAAATAAAATAATATTGTTTTATATTATATATAAATGTTTTTTTTAGTTTTATTTTTATATAAGTATTTAATATATTTAATTAAAAAATAAATAAAAGTAAGTTTTTAATTTTTATATTTGATTTTTTTTAATAAAATAATTTTATTTAATATAATTTAATCATGATTTATAATATATAGATATATTTATTTTTTATTATTATTTGTTACTTTTATTTTTTGAAAAATTGATTCCTACACACATGGGAATAGGAAAACATTTTATTTACTATGGAATGGCTAATCCCATGGATATGGGTTTTGCCATTCCCATTGAAATGCTCATTCCTTCTCAAAAAAATATACCAATCATGGGATAAGGAATGAGTAAAGAAATGATCATTCATTCTCATGTCATTCCTTCTAACAAATCATTCTATACTATAATAATAATAAGTTATTAAATATATAAAATCTACAGATAATTATAAATTAAAGTGAGTCTACGTGACCCACTAGTTAAATATACATATAAAAATGGTACTACTTGGAACAATCATCGAGATTGTAAATTATGTATCTGCATCATTTCAGGTTACATTACAAATGGTGACTCATCTACATCTCATGTCCATCATTTTTTTTAAGCTTAAATGGCAAAAAGTAACAAACAAAATTTCCATTCAGATTGTTCTAATTTCCATTTAAATTATTAATGAGAAAATTACCTCCTACACTAGGTAATTCATATTTTATTACATAATTAAAACCCTTTTTGTGTTTTTCGTGTAATGTGTTCAGATCTAATTTTGCATGTTTATATTGTTTATCAAGTGATTGTTAGTAATTTTCCATTTATCATTTGCAGCATATGTCAATAGCATGATTTTTTTGTGATTAGTTTTCCTAATTTTTTTCTATTTAATGGCAGTAAAATGGAATTTAATTATTGTTTTGGGCGTTTGATTTAGTTTTTGAATTCGTTGGCCCAAATTTTAACCAAAAATTTGATTGAACTTCTGTTTATTCTGTGTTGTTTTTATGTTGTTTGATAGGTGTTATGTTATTTTTTTGTTGTTGCATAAAATCTTTTTATTTTTAAATTTGTTTGGTTGCCCGACTGCTTACTTTTGAAATAAATTTTGTATGTACATTTTTTATCAATTTTTTTATTCTGTAGGCATTCTTATTTGAAGAATAAAAAGAAGAATGGAAGAAGAAAGATTAAAAAGAGAAGAAAGAAAGAGAAAATGAGTGTGATGAAGAGACGAAAAAAAATGTTTTTAGCAATGAAAGCTCCCAATTTTGGAATTCTCCCAATTAGAATTCTTTTATGGAAATGATTTTAAATAGGACATATTTATGTGTTTCGGCCTAAATTAATTAGATTGGAATACTTTGGGCTCCGTAGGCTGGACCCACTAGATTGAGTCTAAATCAGCGAATCCGAATTGGGCCAGAAGCCCACAATCCTGTCCATTTGCCTCGAGCTTCTGAACTGTGATCAACTCGGTAAATTCGTTACTTATGTTTATGTATATTCAAAAAGAGGAAATTGATATAGAAAATTCCCACTAATGGTAAAACGAAGAACATTTAGAATTATGCTGTGCCTAATGTTTTAATAATATTAATCATTCTTACTTAGATCATGATGTTACTTTAAACAATTACGAACAAAGAAAGCACTAATACAAACTGTTTGTAGCAATACACGCATAATTTAGGCCCAATAAAGTTTTATGCAAATTTATGGCACTACTTATCATCGCTATGGTAAACACAAGTTGATGCCAAAAAATTTACAACCTATTAAAATGAAATATTATATTTTATAGAAAAACAATCAACAAATTTGAGTGTCAAATGATTATACTAATAAAGAGTTATGTAAAAATGGATATATAATTGACACGTCTCACTTTCTATTTTATCTATCTATATATAAAAAAAGTTGTTGGATAAATCATTTTCAGAAATTTTTGACCAAATAAATAATACCTTTGACTTTCTATTTATAGAAAGCTTGAAAACAATAATTATGTAGTTTATTATTCACGAAAAAATCACAATTTGAATTCAAAATTAATGTTGTAAAGATAATATTAGAACAATAATCTTTGGATAACTCATGATGAAAAACTTAATCACTTAAGAGTAATCATATTTTGAATTCAACGTAGCTTATTTATTCAAAACATCCAAAATATGTCCACATCTTAAAAAATTAATTTATTATCTATATATATATAGTAAGAATTACCATTTACCAAAAATAGTAACAACAAAATAGGTCAGAATTTAATGCAGCTTACAAATAGTAAGTTTTATTATTTTTCTTATCTTTTTTCTTTAAAAATCATACAACATTAAATTCTACCTTAAATTTTGGGTTTTAGTTCATTTTATTATTTAAAAAATTCGGTTAAGATTTATTAAGTGTGTATGTTTTTATTTTTATTTTTTTATTCGAAACAACGAACAACATTAAAATCTCGTTCTCTATATTTATAAAATCTCATTTCAAAATATAAAAAAACTTTTAGAATCTCGGTCTTTATAGTTGTGCCTTTACAAAAATATATTGAACGCTACAAATATTCTTAAATTGTATAATCAATCAATTAATCTTAATTTTTTGAAAGTTACTATGTTTATTTTTTATTAATATGTATAAAATAAAAATAATTAATTCATCTTTAGATGTATAATTTATAATCTTAATATAATATCATTTGGTGTAGACATTTATTATACGAATTATAAAATATTTTTATTTCATAAAATTAAATATATTTAAAGAAAATATCAAAATTTGTTCAGATCAATCGGGTGATTGAATTAGGGTACTGCCCAGGTTGATTGAATTACTTTTAGGTGATATTTAAAATAGTCAAAAAATTTGACACAACATGGTTGGTCCCAGGTGACTAAGTTATGTATCAGTTCGACCACACTAAATCGATTATTGAACCTAAATATAAATTTTATATTGAAAATATTTTATTACGTGAATGTGATGTAGTCCAAACTTCAAATAATCCTATTAACAATACTTTTATGACAACATATTTAATGATTTATGAATACTTATATATCCTTTTATTATATTTATGTGAATTAAATAATATTTTATTATAATATTTAGTAAATATAAGGTTATTAGAAGTGGACCATCATCGAAACGATCAAGCTATTTTATTAAATCATTTGTGGATTGTTCAGATTTTAATTTATAAACATTTTAATATATATATATAGTACTTTTTGTAATAAATTTAAATAAAATGTGTTACTTAGATATCTAAAAAATTTATAAATTCAAATGTTTAAACTAATTGATAAATAATTTATAAATCTCTATTTTATTTAAATATGTAATTTTATTTAAAATAATTTCAAATATAACAAAATTTATTTAGAAATTCGTATCGATCCTACCAGTCCAACCGACTGGTATTGACGGATTCGAGAGCAAATATTTTATTCGAACAAACTAGACTGGTTATAAACCGGTTCTCGGTCTATCCGGTAGGACTGTGTCCAACCCGGTTTAATTTAAAAAAAATGAATAAATCATGATTAATGTTATTTATATATTTAATATATAATACAATCGTAATATTGTTTTTCCGTGCATCGCACGGGCTACACACTTGTTCTAATAAATAGATTGATATTGGGCATAATCCTCACATGCTTGTCCTAGCCGCTAGCCCTTTAAGCCTTTATATTTCACAAAATGTACCAAATAAAAGTCAACCGAGGCACAAGGACAAAAATGTAAATTTACCCCTCCTCCACCCCGTGCGCGCTCTATATAAATGACCCCATTAAACTTTCAGATCGAACCCATTTTCGTAAATATCTCCCATCTCATCTTCTTCCCCGCACCTCCCCCTTCCCTCTCTCTCTCTAACACACACTCAGGCACCTAGAGAGAGAATGGGCGGCCAGAAGTTCGCCGTCCTCCTGTGCGCCGACGATTCCGACTACGTGAAGAAGATCTACGGCGGCTACTTCGGCGTTTTCGTGAGGATGCTGAGGGAAGAAGGCGAGGAGTGGGACGTTTTCCGGGTTGCGCGCGGCGAGTTTCCGGACGACGGAGATATCGCCGCCTACGACGGATTCGTGATCACCGGCAGCTGCAACGACGCCCACGGCAACGATCTATGGGTCTGCAGGCTCCTCATCCTTCTCAATCGATTGGATGCCATGAAAAAGAAGGTCCTCGGCATTTGCTTCGGTCATCAGGTTCCTCTTTTTTCCTGATTTACTGTTTTTAGATTAATTAATTATTTTTTTTAATCGGAAAAATTAATTTCAGTGCGCTTGTTTCGGGGTCATGCTATTTGCGTTTTGGTTGTGTGTATGGGTGGACAGCTGTCTCTCTGTTTTGGGGTTTTTTCTGTGAGCTGAAGAGAGTTTGGTGCGGTGGTTTGTCTTTTCCGGATATAGGACAAATAAATTTATTTCTTGTGCTTCTATTTGATTTGATCTACTTTTAGTTACTGCTGTTGATTGATTGCAGTGAATAAGAAAATAACACACGCCTCGTTTAATTACTCCTGAGCTACTCACGTGACCTTTTTAAGATGTAGATAGATTGAATATTTTTTAAAAAAAATAAAAAATAAAAAAATGTCCCCTTCAAAAATAAGATATATGATTAAAAGTATATTTTTTAAAAAGTGATATAAATATGGCATATGATTGAAATGAAATAAAATTAAAATGATTATAGTTGATATGATATATAACAATAAAAATATTAATTGATGTGGTAGATAGTTAGAAATCACAAGTTAATATTATTTTTCATTGAAGAAAATATAATAATATTTGAAGTTTTTTAATTGTGTTAGTAAAATTGTAGCAAAAAAGTGAAATAAGATTAAATTAAAAATATTTTATTTTAGTTCACATAAATTTGGATTAACGAGACAAAACTGAAATTGTTTATATTCGATTAGTTGCCTGAAATTTTTGTCATTAATATTTGTCCTCAAGCTATTGGATTTAGATGGAAGAACGCTCCAGAATATATCCATAGTGCTATATCCAAATATCAGATTCACTCTCTTCATAAAATATTTGTCATTAAAATATTTGTCGTTAGGACTAATCATAAAGAAAGTTGAAAAGTAATATGTGGCCAAGTGATTGAAAATGAAAAATGAACTTGCATATTTTTATTTATTTTTTCATAATAATAATAACTAAAAGAGTGATAGTTATTTAAAAGAACACATTATTTACCCCCGAATTGTCTTACAAAATTTATATATGCCTACCATAAATATTATTTACAACTCTAGAAAAATAATATTGAATTTTTGGTACAAAAAAATTAATATATAAGCGAATTTTTGGTACAAAAGTAATATTGAATTTTTATTTATTAATATATTATTTTCGGTAAATGCATACTTAGAATAAAATTGCATGTCAAATACCAAATCCGATTTACAAAAAAAAAAAAATGTTACATATACAGACCAAATTACGAAGTACATAATTTGGGTACACCAACATTCCAAAGTCTGCCATTTATATAAAATACGTTTTAAATTAATATATAAGGGAATTTGTATGGATCACTCACCTAAAACATAAAAGAAACGTGAAGAAAAGACAAGGAAATAATAAATTCAGGGATGACCTTTCCCGTCGGTAGAGGACGGAAGGCATTTATAATTTTAAAGCTTATTTAATGCAGCTAGGAGTTCACACGTATAGCTTATCTAATTATTATTACTTTTATTAAATGAAATATGATCCCTTTCAGACTAGGAAAAGCCTATTTAGAATATGACAGGTATGCTCTTTGGTAAAATAAGGCTGAAAAATGAGTCCACCCGAATTCATCATTGTCTTTGTACAGTTAGATTTGAGCATTGTTTAAAAAAACAAAAAAAAAAAAAAAAAAATTGATGCTAGAGAGATTTGAGCATAACTAAATTCATCATTGTCTTTTGTAGTTTGTACAGTTTAGATTTGAAAGCTGTTAAAAAAATGATGCTAGAGAGATTTGAGCATCACCGAACTGATCATCATTGTCTTTGTACATTTTAGGTTTGATTTTTTTTTATTTAATGATGCTAGAGAGATTTGAGATAAAACATTTAAATAGGAACCATTTTAGATCTAAATAAAATTTGATGCTACAGATAAAACATTGATATAAATAGAAACCATTCGTAATAGTAAGACTCTACAAATGTACTACACTCTGAAGACACTCAAACAAAATTAATAAGAAATCCATAAATATTAATGATAAATATCATGTATTTATTTTCACCTAGCTAGCCAGGCCTCAGGGATCTCGAGCAAGTTTACTGATCAGTCCCTATAAACCTGTAGGATTCTTCAAGTGTGGTCCAAAAGTGAGTTGTAAAAGCTGATTTTATTTTATTTGATATCACGGTAGTTGGCACATCTGGTCCTGGTGGGGGCTAACATGAATGAAGCCTTAGGCAATTTCACATGTACCCACTAAATGACTATCACAAACTCCATTCAGAAGGACAAAATACATTCAATTTTTTTAATTATAGAACGGTGCGTCATATCAACATATTACTAAAATTTGATTTACTATGTTGGTATTATAATCATAAATTGTGCAAAATGATGATGTGGTAGGATAATGTAATTTTTATTTTTAATTACTCCCTCCTGTTTTTATATTTGTCATCCTAGCTTAATTGATCATTTGTTAAATAAATGTCGTTTTGGCTATTTTGTACATATTTTTCCATTATTACCCTCATCTAACTAATAAATACACTACGTCTTTTCATATTCACTCTCCACCTTTTCTCAAAATATCAATCTCTATCCTCATTAATGAGAGTTATTATTGACAAAAAAAAAAAATATTCTTATTATGCAACTTCTCAAAACGACATTTATTAAAAATAGGAGAGAGTACTAAATAATGAACTAAACATTAACAAAAATTAAATGATCCACACTAACTTTCCAAATCATTAAATTTAGCTCATTGTTTGTTATTTTGATTAGTGCAATTTTTTTTTTATTTCCATCTTATATGTCATGATAATGACATGATGTTGTGTGACGAATTAATTTTTGTTTTGTTATTTTAGGTTAGGATAACCATGCACAAATCATCTTTAAGAAAGAACGAGTAGGCGTGCTTGAATATTCATTTTTTTGCTCAAAATGAATTTTTTTGATTAATCATGGTTAATTTAAAAAATGTAATATGATTAGTTGTCAGTAAAATTTTGAGTTTCTATTAAAATAATATTTAAAAATAATAATTGAAGTTGATTTTTTGAATGTAAAAGTAGGAGAGATGATACAAAATGATAGTTAGTTAAAATTAGTGAATGAATAGTAATTAAAGTTGATGTGATGTGTACGAATAATTGATTGATATATTAATTATTTTGATAATATTAATATTGAGGATAGTTGGTTTATTAGAGTTAGAGTTAAAATTTGGAGTATGAATTAAATATGAAATTTTTGTAAACAAACGCCTCGAGGAAATCTGTTTAAAATTTCGAAAATTGGAAATTTGATTGTTATGGTTTGCTGATAAGGATGTGGGATAGAGTTTTTGCTGATAAGGATGTGCAATTCTAATAATTATTTTATCACACATGCAAGCAAGTCATATCAATTTTGTCACGTTTCCACTCTTTCCACATGTACATGTATGTACTCTCTTTACTTATATTTTATGAGCATGATGCATCATTATCCTTCTTGTTAGCCATCACATGAGTTTGTTATGTGGTCCATCTATACAGTCTCATCACACGCATGTATTTGTCCAAACAACCATGACACACTAAACCAAACAAAAAAAAATGATAAAGTTAGTGAGCCCTTGANNTTTTTTTTTTTTTTTTGTACAATATTTGTTTAACATATATTGATGATATCCTTATATTTTCGAAAGGATCAAACGAAGAACATATCTCCGATGTTCAGAAAGTTTTGACAAGAGTCAAAGAAAAGGGAATTAATATCTCGGAACAATTATTAAAGGAGATGGAAAAATTGATTTATCACCCCATACTCAAGAAAAGATTTGAACTTTTCCAGATTTTGTACAAAATCAGGAGGCCAGGACCTAGGTAGAGGATGAGTCTAGAATTCACCGGGGGTGAGACACCCCTATGAGGTCATGATAGCCCTTGACATTGTTGACAATACATAAAACAGAAAATCATCATGTCTGATTCCCCTCGCTTATGTTTTAGTTTTACAATGTGAAAGCTGATTTTTTTTATTTAACATTAATAGATACTCGGACGAGCTCTCGGAGGCAAGATAGGGCGAGCCAGCGGCGGATGGGACATTGGAATCACCAAAGTTCATTTGTTTCCATCACCCATTTTCACTTCCTTACACATGCCTGATTCCCTCTCTGTCATCGAATGCCATAGGGACGAGGTTTGAAGTTTGATCTTCATATCAAATCCTATAAATAACTATTTCAACATGTTTGAAAAAAAAAGAAAACCTACGTAATTCTTGCGGAGAAGAGACTTTGTGTTAACGTGAAGTTTAGTATAGGTATGGGAGCTTCCCGCCAAAGCAGAGGTGCTGGCATGGTCCGACAAAACTGGAGTCGAGATGTTTAGGTACGGAAGTCATATAATGGGCATCCAAGGTCATCCCGAGTACACAAAAGACATCCTCTCGAACCTCATTGACCGTCTACTTAACCGTGAACTCATTGAGGTAACTTAATTGACGAAATCGTGCATGTCGTTATTATAAAAAAGGCCAAAATCTAATTTTGGTCCTCAAAGTTTGTCATTGTTCAGTTTTGGTACACCAACTTTTCCCTCATAAAAAATAGTCGACTATGTTATAATTTTCATCAATTTTAGTACAGTAATCCCGAGGGGCCGGATTACGTGATGACGTGGAAAATTATAATCTTTTCATGTCAATGTCATATCCATCCACGTCGTTTTAATCCTTGTCCACGTCATCACGAAATCCGGCCCCTCGGGATTACTGTACTAAAATTGACGAAATTGTAACATAGTGGAATATTTTTTATGAGGGAAAAGTTGGTGTACCAAAACTGGACAATGGCCAATTTAGAGGACCAAAATTGAATTTTTGCCTTATAAAAAATATCATCCCCATTTGGGGAAATATAAGAGGGAAAATTAAAATTAGAGATTTAATCCTGTAACTAACACCGAATCGATAAATAGTCCGACTAACATATCTAACTCAGCAAGCCTGTCACATTGACCAGCTTTTCTTAGTGGAAGGACCTAAGTTAAGTTTTGGCTTTTCCCTTTAGAATGACTCCAATTCGAGTTTTTTTCCAATTACAAGGTGTTTAGTAAAATCAACGCAATTATCGGATTATTTATCAGTTACCAATTTTTCTTTGTGATTGTCGAGCTTCTTGAGATGTTAGTCATGAGTAAGAATGCTTCATAATCCTGCAGGAAGAAACTGCCGAGGAGGCCAAGAGTAAGATGGAGGGCGGTGAGCCAGATAGAGAAGCTTGGAAGAAACTGTGCACCGGCTTTCTCAAAGGAAAGTTGTGATGGTAAAGAAATCGATATCTTGAAGGATTTAGGAAGTGTAAATATAAATTATGTTGGGTTGTGTGGCTGAAATATATGGATCTCTAAAGAACTGTGCTTAATTACGGACACAACTAAAAGAACACCATTTTTCGTGTACTCGAAATAATCGTGCTTGGACGATGTCAGTATCTTTCATCTCATTCTTAGGATCTTTGACCTGCGGCAACATTAACTCAAAGAGACTCCAAAGCTTTATTAGATTCTTACACATTTGTTGTATTGTTAAGAAAAATGAGGGCATACATGCATGTTTGGATAAACAGATTATACTTGCCCCTCCTGTTTTATTTCTCAGCTGTTAGGTTTATATAATTTAGACAATCTGCTTTAATCATATTATGTCAACACAACCATATCAGTTAAATCTGATTTAATTACAGAATTTGAAGTGTTCGCGTTGATCTCTGTATGGTTAAGAAAGATAACTTGATTCTATTAAAACTGTCAAACTTCTTTCAAGGTCACTTTATGCCATGAACCATACCACCACTAAAATTTAATCCTGTTCATTTTTTTTCCTTTAATCTAAACAGATAATCTATTAGATGAGTGCATATAAAGTAAACAGAAGAAGTAATCAAATTGCAAATTAATGCCTGCATATTTAGAACAGAGAAAAGTTAATAACCTGCCATAAGAACGTAACAACTTATGTAGTGTAATGATGAACTTCGCAAGCAAATGCCAGGACTAGAACAATACCACAAATTAAGTAAAATTATTGGAACACAGCAACACTTTTCCAACTCCAACAACATTTTAACAACAAGAATCCACGTGATAAAAAAAAAATTAACTAAAAAGGACTAATATTGCGACTAAATTAACAAGAAGGAACACAACAAGCTCGAAGAAAAATTATCTTCTTACAAGACCTATAACACAAAGTAAAAAATAAAAAAATAAAAAAAATTAAAGGAACTGTTAGAGAATACTCACCACAGGAGCTCCGGCGAGCCATGGCTTACTCTGTAATTCAAGAAAACGACTTGAAAGTGATTCAACAGCATGTGTTGTGGCTCCAAACAAAACGTTTGCTGTTTATATATATCCACCACAATGCAGGTAAGAGTTCTGGCTAATTTTCCACGTGTCAAATCATGAGTGGTTACAACTGACCCCGAGCAATGCAGTGGCGCCGTCAGAAAACACATCTCCCGTCACCTTGTACATTTTCCTATTTTCTTGGAGAGAAGCTACGATACTCTAGTTACAAATTTTCAAACACACCATTTCAGGCTTGACCTTGTTTGGTAGATAGTGGTTAGCTGTTAGCTGATTGTAATAACTATTCTGCCCCGCGGATTGTATCGACTGTTTTGACCAGCGGATAGTAATAGCGGTTTTAAAAAATATGTTTGGTAAAAATAGCTTTTTGATTCTTAAAAATATGTTTAGTATTAATAACTCGATTTTTTTTATATATATAAATATACATTGGTCATATTCCTTTATTTATTTTATACTCACAAATATTATTTTTGATATAATAAATATTTTTAATTATTGTTTTATATTTTTATAGTAAAAATAATAGGTGAAATAAAAATATAAATTAAACTTAAAAATAAATGATTTCAAAATACTAAAATAACATTTGAAGAAAATAAATAAATGACACAAATAATTCTCTTGTTGTTATCTTCCCAATAAAAATATAAACTTTTGCCGCACCTAAGTAAAAGAAATTCAGAGTAGAATAACATATAGGAAAAAAATTAAATTAAAGTTTGTATTAAAAGGTCATCCGCTAATCCAAAATGCTACTAATAGCAGCGTTTTTAAATTGGCGTTTCATACCAAAATCGCCAATATGAAAAGTCGATTACCAAACATCAAATTTCCGTGGGTCACCTTTCAAAAAAGCTAATGGGATAAACAACGCCAAAAATTGGTTGAAATCCCAAAAAAAACAAGGCCATATCTTTTCCTCATGTCATCATTCGGGTTTTCTAATTTATTTATGATTTTAAAAGTGCCGATTGGATTGGAAATGTTTTTTTTTTTTAATTGACTTGGATTTATGAGATAAAGTGAATTAAAATTGAGATAAATTAGTTGAGTGAAAATTTGAATTTAATTCTGAATTTGTCAATTGATATGAGTTAAAATGTAATTATTAGCGTTGATGTGATGTAAAACTAGTGAAATAATTTTTGTAAATGACTGATAGTTAAAGATTTAAAATTATGTGAATGTATGAATAATGATTTTTTTTTTTCCGAAATGTTAGAATTTATAAAAAATAAACACAATTATAGCTAGACAACAACTAAAATTAGCCAAACAGACATCTAGTTCAATAAAAACAACACTAACAAAACTACTACACACTAACACTAACACAACAGAAAACAATTGAATAACACCTTCTTCTCAGTCAGCAAACAAACCGCATCACACCGTAACCCAACTCCCGGAAACAACCGCCCAACCAGAAAGGACTCCAACCTGAATATCGAAACAGAAACTCATTGTAGCCACAACTAGCTGAAACCTCACAGACGACCGAAATCATCTCCCAAACAAACCACCACCAAATCGAAGACCCGTGGATGGCACCTTCACCCCAACTAGCCTACAATGCTCGCATATCCATCAGACGGCAGGCGTTGCCATCTACCCGCTAAACGCAGGAGCCATGGTTCGCCCACCAGACGACAGGATAAAAGATAAGCTAGTCAAATATTTCAACGAGCTTATTTGAAAAGTTATCCAAAGAAGCTTATGAGATAAGTTCCAGTTTCTTAAAAAAGCTCGTCCTACCAAACTGAGCTTATTTGAATACAATGAGCTTATAAGCTAACCCAATAAACTATAAATTAGTTTATTTGTTTACCAAACATAGCCATAGATATATATTTTTGTTCGGCCCATCACGTGTCATTTAACCTGCAGCCCGCTCTCCGATGGGCTTGAGAAAAAGCGCCCAAACCGGCCTTTGGCGGGCCGGGTGAGGGTTCTACTTATGATTCATTCAACGGCAGCAAAACGGTCGTGGGACCCACCGTTCCAAATTCAAGCAAAAACTCTGAATTTGGCTAAAACCAATACTAAACTTACTGAGCAAGACAATGGCGACCATCGTCATGCCACTGCTTCACATATATAAATTTTCCTAATTACTTGTTTTCTTGGGCTGTACGAGAGACTCCACCATCTCATTCACCGCCACCGCTGCAGAAACCCCTGACGTAGGGTTTCATTCATCTTCCCCTCCATATTTAGCCTAGAAGAAACCAAAATTAAGTACTGCAAAAAAGTCGTATTATACAGCCTAGATTTGTTCCTGTTTCTGATATATATCGAATTACATGGCGGAGGACCAAGCTCCGGCGGCGGGCGGCGGCGGCAAGGTTGCGCTGTTGGGGCACTCGGTGATACCCATAGTCAACAAGCTGCAGGACATCATAGCGCATCTAGGGAGCCAGTCCGATATCAAGCTGCCGCAGGTGGCCGTCGTGGGCAGCCAGAGCAGCGGGAAATCGAGCGTGCTGGAGGCGCTCGTGGGCCGAGACTTCCTGCCACGTGGCAGCGACATCTGCACGCGCCGCCCGCTCGTGCTGCAGCTTGTGCAGACTAAGAGGAAGGCCAATGGGGAGGAGGAGGAGGAGTGGGGGGAGTTCCTCCATCTGCCGGAGAAGAAGTTCTTTGATTTCAGTGAGATTAGAAGGGAGATTCAGGTCAGTTCGCTTTCCGTCTTAATTTTCAGTGAGGTGCTGCTAACTGAAAGTCGAATGCTCTGCTAGTATATAATAAGCTTCTGAAAAGGTGGTTTGAGCTTACCTTTTACTGTGTAAAAGGTCTGCACTGTTATGTCCTTTTTTTTCTTCTCATGGTGATGTACTAATTCTGATGGCTCACTCTAGTCTTACTTAGCCTTTCGAACATTTTTGCGAACTATTGAGAATTTTGGGTGTGCCAGTGGTTTATGACAAGTCAAGTTGGCCATGGCTTAATTTATTGTCAAATGTCTAAGAAGATGCACTTGAAAATCCGTTTATTGTTTGTACACAGTAGAGCAAGATTCTTTAGTGGTGTCATCTTCCCAAAAGAGATCAACTTATTGATTGTGTGAAGTGGTTCTCGTTTGTACAGTCTTAAATTCATGTTGGATTTTTTACATCAATGGTTCTAGATTTCATTGATGAGTATGTCTCTTGATACTGGACCTTCTGGAATTTTGCTCAGGCTGAAACAGATAGAGGGGCAGGAGGAAACAAAGGTGTTTCAGACAAAAATATACGTCTAAAGATTTTCTCGCCCAATGTTCTGGATATCACTCTTGTGGATCTGCCTGGACTCACGAAAGTTCCTGTTGGTGATCAGCCGTCTGATATTGAAAATCGGATTAGAACAATGATAATGTCATTCATTAAGTGCCCAACTTCCCTGATCCTGGCTGTGACACCAGCAAATGCTGATTTGGCAAACTCTGATGCTCTTCAGATGGCGGGAATTGCTGATCCTGACGGTTGGCTTTTTTCTTACTATGTTTTAACGGGAAATCCTTTTTTCTTTCTAACTTCAAAATCAATATGTGATACTTGTTAGTATGGGTCCTTGAGCTCATGCGTGAAGTTTCTGATTGCAGGTCATAGAACAATTGGAGTAATCACAAAGGTGAGATTTTACCTGTGTGATTTTGTTTGTTTACTGTTCTTTTTAATCCCTTCTTACATATGAATCACTCACATTGCTCCTTTAGTTGGATATCATGGATAGAGGTACAGATGCTCGCAACTTCTTGCTCGGGAAAGTAATTCCTCTTCGGCTCGGCTACATAGGTGTGGTGAATCGTAGTCAAGAGGTAATATTTCATTTGATATTCTAGATGCTTAAAGTTATATCACATGGAAAGTCCTATTGTCCCCTGATCTTTCTTTATATATTCTGCCATGAAACTGTATTACTTATTATTCTTGGCATTCCCTGCTTTTGTTTGTTTTGTTTCTTGCTTTTCTTATGGTTTACATTTTATACTCTTGTAGGGGGCAAATCACTTCATCAGGCCCTTAGTCAAATAACATGACTTTTGATTTCTCATCACTGGAAGACAAAATATCTGTCTGTGAAGTATATTTGCATAGCTATGGTCCGAGTAACTAATAAGTAGGAATAAAACTAGACTAAATAATTTTCAGGAAGTATAAACTGTCTAGTTGCATCATAATAATGGCTACATGATATATATCTGAACCTGAAAGTTAGACACATATATATATATGTATGTATGTGTGTGTGTGTGTGTGTGTGTGTGTGTGTGTGTGTGCCCCAAACTGTTGGGAATATACTGGGTATGTTGTTGTTGTTGTTGATGTGTGTGTGTGTGTATAATGTATATGGACTTTGAATCTGAATATCAGATTACTTTCTAAATGTGTTCTCACACTGACAGGCCTAACTGGGAAATTATTAATTCCTCTGAAAAAGGATGCAACATAACTCTTAGGGTTGGGCATTTGTGGATTAGATATTAAGTTGGTGGAGCAATTTTTTATTTAGACCAACACTTGTGGTTGCCTAGTGCCTACGTGCCACGTGTTTGTGTGTTCATATTGAAATAGACGAAAAAAATCTCTCAATTTTTATTATTTTGCTCTTCATTTGCTTGTTTCCAGTTCCCTCGTGTTTCTAGCAGATGGGATGATTTGACCTCTGATCAACTTTCTCTTTCGTAACTATTATACGCCTGTATTTCAATGGTTGATGGTCTTCTTAGTTTTACCCTGAAGTCATAAACTGAATTGGATAACTCAAAGTGATATTTCATAATATTCGAGTTCATAAGCTTTAATGGAGGACTATGTTGCTTCTGGGGAACTTGCACATTTTATGTCATGGCATTTAAGCGGCTGGATAGCACATCGCATTTATGTGGGATAGATATTTATATATGGTGTTCAAAAGCCTCTGAAAAACCTTGGGTTATGTTAAAACATTTTCTTTGATGACTTCTCTTCTGTGGTTAACTAGGATATTCAACTGAACCGCAACATCAAGGATGCACTTATAGCAGAGGAAAAATTCTTCCGTAGCCGGCCAGTATGTACTTAGTTATTCTTATACCCTTGGATTTAAATCTCACATCTCTTGGAAGTACTCTAATGACATATTTACCGTTGTAGGTTTACAGTGATCTTGCTGATCGTTGTGGGGTGCGCCAGTTGGCCAAGAAGTTGAACCAGGTAACATGTTGTGAAATTGAGTTCCAACTGCGTCTCATATCACATTTCTTGAGCTTACCCAGTTCTCCTATGCCTATATTGCTTGATATATTCTGTGATTTGATCACAAAATGTGGTATGATTTTATTTTGTCTCCTTGTTCACGACCATCTTGCTAGTGCATACCCATACCTCTTTTTACAGATTAGTCTTTTGTGCACCCACATATTGCTATTGCATTCATATCTTAATGATTTGCACTTCATAACCTATGGACGTTATAACTGGCTAGCAAAATAATATCATAAGTTCATAACAGTGTATGTGAGATGAGTGAATTTGAGTTCTAGACCTCCTTTCCTTCGAGAAGATGCTTGGTGCTGATCTTTTCCTTAACCTCTTTGGCACTCTTTATTGTAAAGATGATGACATTTTCTGCTTGGTTTTCAGATTCTGGTACAACATATTAAGACAGTTCTCCCTGGGTTGAAGTCACGAATTAATGCTGCGCTTGTCTCTGTTGCGAAGGAGCACGCAAGCTATGGAGAAATTGCTGAATCAAAGGTCTTTTCTTTAATTATCTCGCTGGGAAAGCAATTTATATCAATTTCTCGTTTTTGTTCAGTGCACTTGGATTCCTTAAGAAATTGGGAGTATCTTTCTCCATGCAGAGAAACTCAAACAGTAATATTATATTTGCGACCTTTCTCTGCCTCATCCTGTTTTGCTAATTCAGCATGACATATTCTACGTAATTGCTCTTCTAAATGGGTGTTGCAGTTGGGTGTTCCGGACAGTAATGGACTAGTGTCTTGGTTTCTAATTCTTTGTCTTTTCGTGATTAATAGGCTGGGCAGGGAGCACTTCTGCTTAACATTCTATCCAAATACTCGGAAGGTATGTGGCCTCTAGTTTTAGATGTATCTAAGAAATTGAGGGAGTTAAGTACCCACTTTTGCTATTATGATGCTTGCTAAGCCCTTCCATACAGCACTCTCATTTAATTTCTGTCTGTTCTGCATAGGCTTCATTTCTGTCATGTCTGGTGTGGCTTAAACATTAATTTATATCATTTTGATCATTCTATGCATGTGTTTATGTTTCATTTTGTGAACTATTGTATCATCTATTTTTGTGTTTGTATATTGCAGCTCCAAAACCTGATGCTTGGCTCAATTTTGTACAATTTGCATTGTTACTTGACATCCTACTCCATATATAATGTCAGTGCACTAGGATAGAGAGTTTTGTTCTTATATAATTTATGTTTTCTTTGGAAACAGCGCTCTCTTCAATGATTGAAGGAAAATGTGAAGACACATCAACATCTGAGCTTTTTGGTGGCGCAAGAATCCAGTACATTTTCCAAAATATATTTGTGAAATGCTTGGAGGTTGGTTGTGTACTTATGTTGATTTGACCACTATTAGCTATGGAACGCATTGTCAGTCTTCGACTCTGAATTTTTTGGTAGTTTTTATTCCAGAATGAGAAAACATGAGCGGAGTCATTCTAATCACATTGCATTGCTCTATTTACTGATTGTTCACCAAAGTTACCACAATTGTATTTTCTAGATAAAATTATCCTTTGATTTTGTTTACATGCTGATAATGCAGCATGTTTCTATATGTCAAAAATAAATATTGCAAAAAAGAGACATTTTAGTGAGTGAATGAAACTATGAGCAAGCATGTTATGCATTTAGTCTTGTTATTGTTTCATGTGGTTAGTAAGAAGGTTTAATGGTCCTTCACGTGGTCCGTCATGTACTAGCAACTGTTTGCAAATAGCTTCGTAATTGCTGTCTCACCTAAATTTCAACATTTATGAAAGGGCTGGGATTTTCCTATGCTAGTAGTAAATAAAAGAAGTTAGTTGCTTAAGCACTGAAGTTCATGATGTTCTTATAGAAAATCAGTTTCATATCAAGTTCTGTTAGATGTGATTCTTCTATTCTCTGTTCTGCAGGATGTAGATCCTTGTGAAGATTTAACTGATGATGACATTCGCACTGCCATTTATAATGCTACTGGTCCTAGATCTGCATTATTTGTGCCAGAAGTAGGTCATCTAAGCTAATGCAGTCTTTTTCCGTGCATTTTGTTTTGGATCCTTTAAATATCATCCACAGTATCAAACCTCAGTCTAATGCAAATAAAGAAATATGTAGGTTCCTTTTGAAGTGTTGGTCAGAAGACAAATAACACGTTTGTTGGATCCAAGTCTTCAGTGTGCTAGGTTCATCTATGATGAACTTATCAAGGTACTCACATTTATAAAATCTTAGTATGGCAATTGATTCATTCATACTTGTATGTGGAGATTGACCCAGTGGTTTTCTTGCAGATGAGTCATCGATGTGTGGTAAATGAGCTCCAACGTTTTCCATTCTTGCGAAAATACATGGATGACGTTGTTGGAAATTTTATGCGAGAAGGCCTTGAACCATCACAGACAATGATAGGACATATTATTGAAATGGAGGTAATCTGAATCATGGTGATTGTGTGTAACCAATTTCCCTTGCACTAAGATGTGGAAAATGCTTGTCAGCTAAATAAACTTGTGGTTGGATACAATTTACTGTCGAGATGCTTTTTTTTTTGGTACTGTATATTCATGGTATTTTTGTTAAACACTTTTTTTTTTGGTACTGTATATTCATGGTATTTTTGTTAAACCCTGCCTCACATTATTTTCTTTCTGAAAGCAAGAATGGTCTTCATTTCAAGCATTATTAGGAAGGACAAGTTTTGTACTGAGGGAAATTTAATAGCAATTGTAGAGCGTTAGGGTGGATCAATCTTTTTGACTTGGGATGATAAAGTTGTTCAGGTGCTTACTGGGTTAAATTTTACACTACTGAACCTATAGTGGATTGCAGAAGTGACTATTGTATTTGAAAACTAAATTAATAAATAATAATACTTCTGTAAATGTCTTTTAGTTGGTTTTGCATTTGTTTGGATATATATTATATGTTGCTTGATGGTCTGTTCTGTAGATGGATTACATAAACACTTCCCATCCAAATTTCATTGGTGGTAGTAAAGCTGTAGAGATGGCATTGCAAATGGTCAAGTCATCCAAGATAATAGTACCCAATGGAAAACAAAAGGTTACTGCAGTTTGATTTACTGGTGGTTACCTTACATGTCTGAGTGGTTTAATAAGAATCTCTTCATAAATCTGTGAGTTTCTTATCATATAGGAAATAGGAGATTCGGAGAAAGCAGCAACTGACAGAAATCTGAAGTCTCGGTCTATAATAGGACGGCAAGTGAATGGAGTTGTTTCCGAGCAAGTAAGTTATCTGTTGGTGTTAATTGTCTCAGTAGAGCACTTAAATATGTTTGTGAAGTTAACTAATAACCTTTTGCTGCTTTTTTTTTGGTTGAAAAATAAAGGCTGTTCGACCTGCTGCAGAATCTGAGAGAACTTCACCAAGTGGTAAGAATGATGTCCAGAACTTTTTTTTTTAATTTTTTTTTTTATCGTGTCACTTATTTGATTTCATTCCTGCTTTCCCTTCCCTTGAGTAAATAATTCACTTTCTCAGTCTCTATGAGAGAGACAGAGAGAGAGAGAAACAACAACATACAACAACAACATAGCCTTTTAGTCCCAAGCAAGAGAGAGAGAGAGAAAGAAAGTGGTGAAATTTTACCAACCTTTGCCCATTATTTAACTATAACTTAATACACCGGATACAAATATATACAACAGTTGAATAATAAACTAGAAGAGTGCTTAAACCCAAATCCTCGGGCAGATAATATGGTAATTTTGCTCATGGATATGCCTGTTAGCTGATTGATACATGGGTATGTAAGAAATCCAAAATAGTAGCTTTTTCTATAATGTTGCAAATATGAACGACTAAACAGCTAGCACTGGTGGCTCAAGTTGGGGAATATCATCAATTTTCGGTGGGCATGATAATCACAGTTCAGCCAAAGAGAAATCAACTAGCAAACCATCTCATGAACCTCTTCATATCATGGAGCAGACCTCTTCAATGATTCATTTAAGAGAGGTGTATATTTTACTCTCCCAACACTTTGTTTCTGTTTAAGTTCTAACCTGTGCTGTTATGCTAACCTTTATTTTTTTTTCTTTCTTTCTTTTTTTTTTTCCGGTTTTTTGCCAAAGCCTCCTAGTGTACTGAGACCCACTGAAGCACATTCAGATCAAGAAGCCATTGAGATTACTGTTACGAAGTTGCTACTTAAGTCGTACTATGATATCGTGCGCAAGAACATTGAGGATTCTGTCCCGAAAGCAATAATGCATTTTCTGGTAATTGTTTATCATTTATCTCGAGTTCTCATCACGCCATAATTTTTTTTCTCTTTCAAATCTTTGTATTCTGTTAAGGCTTGTAACTTTCCCAAATGAGCCTGCTCTTTCTGAATTGCTTATGCTCTGATCTACCAGTTGAGCTTTCATTAGGTTAAATGTTAAAAGTTCTCAAGTCATCATAAGTAGTATAAGTTACATTTGACTAATCCTCCATGAGCATTTTCCTCTGTGCCAACTAATTTTCTCAGGACTTTGTCATCAAACTCCTTACATTTTATTTGGTTTTTGATCTGTTTCTGTCAGCACTATAGGAATTGATTAATTATGTGTAATGTTTTTTTGACAATTTTCCTAAACATTCAGAATTTGGTTTTATCAATTATGTGTAATGTTATTCTTTTGACAATTTTCACAGGTGAACCACATCTTTTTGACAATTTTCCTAAACATTCAGAATTTGGTTTTATCAATCATGTGTAATGTTTATTCTTTTGACAATTTTCACAGGTGAACCACATCAAGCGGGAGCTCCATAATGTTTTCATCCAGAATCTTTACAGGTATGTCGAATAAATATAGTAAACTGAAAAATTGAAATGAAGATGAGGGAAGAAGTGCAACTGTGGGTTCTTTGGCTCCACCTTCAACTAAAGAACCTTTTACGTGTTCGGCTCAAATGCACAAAACCTGATTTATCTCAAACCTAATATTTGTTTGAGCAGAGAGAACTTGTTCGAGGAAATGTTGCAAGAACCGGATGAGATCTCCTCAAAGAGAAAGCGTACTCGAGAGACACTTCGGATCCTGCAGCAGGCCTTTCGTGTGAGTGTTCTATTGAATTTGTTTTAAACAATAAATGGATTTGCGTTAAACAACTTCACTTTTTTTATTTTTTATTTTTTGTTCGGAATATAATGTCTCCCATTTCACGTGTAGACGCTGGACGAACTGCCGCTTGAAGCAGAATCTGTGAACAGAGGAGGCTATAGCTTGAGTGCCGACAAAACTGGCCTACCAAAGACTCACTCAAAGTCACGCAAGTCGAGCGAGTCACACTCAGTGTTTTAGGCTGATAATAGGATTTTAGGGAAATTTTGCATTTAATTCAATGGCTACAATAGATGAATCTTGGTTACTTCTGTTGATAGCCATTGTCTTTTGTTTCCCTGTTAGATATTTCTGAACAAACTTGCTTTAGTATACTTACCTCAATATATGTGGGTAGATTTGGTTATTTGTTTATATTTATAAAAATAAAATAGGTCCTGCAAGATTAAGAGGTATCCCAATCCTCCTTTTCTGTTAAAAAAAAAAAAAAGTGATGCGCATTGAAGGACACTTAATCAGTCATTGCTGAGTTAGGACGTCCGAGGTTTATTTTCTGGAGTTTCGTTTTAGTATGCGCAAAGTTATAATATTAGTCTTGGAATAGAAATAGAGAATAATTTGTATACATAAATTGAAGTTTAGATTAGAATATATTATACTAATATGAAAGAGATTATGAAATTAAAACATCTGCTATATGCCTGCATAATTTTAGTATATATAGCATTACTCTTATATAATATAAATATCTAAGAATTATACAGATGATACATTGTACATAAATTACTCATGTGATATCAATGTTAGGATAAGTGTTGCAAAATAAATCCTCCTATTTTCTCTCTCTAAGGGGTGAAGCGTCTCCCGTACGCTTCTTCCTCAAAATTTCCCCAAAATTTTCAAAAAACGAAGACAAATTTCATGTACTATTTGGTTCGAGGTATTTGGAGGGCAAGGGAGAGGAAGGAAGGATGCCCCTGGGGCATGTAGTCCAACGGCTGATGGTGGAGGCATAAGTGCTGTTGATGCCAGAGGTTGGGGGATCGAACCCAACTATCGTGGGGAGTGTGAATGGGGCATTGCACTCTTCCTGGAGGATTAGTCCCACTCTCTGGTGGTGGAAGGCAGTGGTGTAAGGCTTGATCCGAGTATGGTCCCATTCCTCCGACCGATGGTCGGTCCTGCTGGGTGGGCCGGGTGATGGCTGGCTAGGCTAGAGACCCCGGATGAACGTGGGGATACCTCCACAAAAAAAAAAAAAAAAAAAAAAAATGAAGGATTGGAGAATTTAGTTTTCACTTGTTTAGTTACAACAAATTTAGGAGGGGATGGAGAGGAAAATTTTAAGTAGATTTCCCTTTTTTCCGCACTTTTTTTCCCCTTCAATTTTGAGGAATTTGGAGGGAAAATATTTTAATATGATGTTAAATGACCATTTATTTAGTCCCTACTTCCAATTGTTTCTATTTTTATTTTTATTTTATTTTATTTCATTAAAGGTAAGTTTGTTATTGTAATAATATTTTTCTTCTTTTAAATGTTTAACCAAACAAGATTCACCATTTTTCTTCTCATTCTCTCCTAAATAATCATTCCAAACAAGGTTAAACTATTTTACATCATGTCCCCTCCTATCTCTTTCCCTCCATTAAAATTCCTCCCCTTCTTTCCCCTCCATTGAATCAAACATACCCTTAGATTCGTGCGGCGCTTCCTTGCGGCTGCCGGAAGCTCCTATGCTCCGTGAAGATGGCCGACTCTCGGGCTTCCTCCTTGTTGTTGTCGGTCTCCGGTCCCTTGTCTCGGCGTAACTCTCCCTCCTTGGTGGGCGGATCGCATTGGGCTCGACGATGGATGATGGTGGGCGTGGGGTTCTCTGGTGCCGTCTACCGCTCTTTTGGTTGACGGTGCTAGGACCGACATTATTATCTCCTTTGGTTTTCGTATGTTGCTCTGGGTGGGGATGGTCGGTCTCCTCCAACGGGCTTGGGTGCGTTTGGTTGTTGATTAGGTTTGTGGTTGTTGGTTTCGGTTGTTGCCGGAGTTGTCTTGAGGGAGGCAATGATTGTTGGGTCCCGGAGCTGTTTTTCGGGGTTGGTCCATTTGTTTGAATGTCTCAGCTTTGTTGATGTAGGTGGAGTTAGCCTTAGTTGTCTCAATGCGGAGTTAGGTGTTCAAGAGTTGTGTTGGGGAGCTTTGATCCTTCTTCTTCTTCCGGATTGTCTTTGGTTGTTGCCGTTCGTGAAGTAGTGTTTGTTCCTGAGCGGTACTAAGGAGGACTTTATTGTATTGTTTAGGTGTGTGTAGTGGTTTTGTTTTTCTTTTAGTTTTTGTTTTCAATACAACTGCGTTTGACTTTTAGTCTCCTTTACGGAGTTTGTTGTCTCCTTTTTGGAGTTCTTTTGTTTGTGCATGCTTGTACCCTATTGGTCACCTAGGTAATTTTAAGAGGGGTCAGTCCAGACTTTGTTCTAGTTCTAGTGGCGTCTTTTGACACTCGAGTGTACTCCTTTTGAGTTTTTCACTTTTAATATATTTATCGTTTCGAGAAAAAAATGTTAGGGCAAGTGCATCCATATTTGAAACCTTGGTCATTTAAGTTCAACATTTATTGTTAACATTAATATGGTGTACTTAACTAGGATTCTTATTAATATTTTTAAAATGAATAATTTTAGTGGATTTTATGCAACTTTAATAATTTTAAGTAGACTTTGTGAGATCGTTAGAGAATTTTTATGGACACTTTTTAAAACTTTCAACTTATAATTTTGGAACCTTTAAAAAAAAAGAAAAAAAAAACTTCATATATTTATTACTATAATTATTAAATTTGTATAAAAAAAATGCTCATAAAAATAATGTGCATTATAACTAGACTCAGTAAAGTCAAACTAATAATTAAAAAAATTACAATATTAATCTAAAATAAGTTATGATATTAAGCAATATTCATTGAGCAAGAATGAATGCAAAAGAAAAAAATATTGTAATAAATGAACTCGATAAGAAAAGAAAATATGAAAAGATATGCAGCAACCGAACAAGAGAGTACAAAGTTTTAAGAAATCTATCAAGTACTATAATTAATAATATTTATTATTTAAAGTGTTGGGCCGCCTTTGTTTCTTAGTTGAAGCATTGGCCCTCCGATTTGAACTTCGATTGGCTTTGCATTCTGGTTTTATACTCCAAGGTGTCAAAACTAACCCCTTTTTTGTTATTTGTAGTATTTTTTACCATAATCCAAATGATCCATTGCAAAATGTATTCGTCCACATTGTCGATCTTTTGTTATTTGTGGAATTTGTTGTTATGTCAATAGAGATAACAATGTTATAGCTCATAAAATAGCAAAATGGGCGCTAGTGTCGATTGATTCCTTCTGAAAGGACTATCTGTCATCCTTTTTGTCTTCTTTATTTCTAAATGGTACATTGAGCCCATTTTTCCTAGTTAAAGCATAACTGAGTATTATGGAATCAAACCAACCACTATATAAAAGAATTTTTAAGCAAAGTTATAAGCAACCAAAACATCTGTAAGATAATCCCATGATTGTTTCTATGACTTGGGGCATTCTACCATTGTCGAAATATGAGTTCCACCGATGGGTTTAATAGAATTTTGAATAATCCCGTGATTGTTTCTATGACTTGGGGCATTCTTTTACCATTGTCGGAATATGAGTTCCATCGATAGTTTCAATAGAATCCTAAACAACTAACAAATTTTAGTAAACAATAATGAAAATAACTATGATAAAATCACTAACTATAAGCCTATAATAATAATAATGATGATGATGATATTATTATTATTATTATTATTATTATTATTATTATTATTATTATTTCCGCATTTGCTTCTTAGTTTTACTGGTGTGTGGGAATGGGGAGATCAAGAGTAGCGATTTCAATGGTATATGGGCACCAATATCTTGTTAAGTATTGAGCTTCATGTAATTTTGTGACTTTAAAAAGAACCTTCAATTAAATTTACTAATAAAAATAATATAAAAGTTATATTGGAAACCACACGGCAAAGAAAGGATTCATAATATTCACATACATTGATACTAATTTTAGAA